ATTTCTTTGTTGTCTAATTTTTCCAAATTTTTCGAAAAAGTCATATACAATCGCTTAGTAGAATTTGCCGAAAAACACGATATACTTTACCGCTGTCAGTTCGGATTTCGGAAAAATCACTCAACATCGCACGCGCTAATTCATTTGGTAAACAAAATTGCATCTGCAATCGACCAACACCAAACAACGGTGGGTGTTTTCCTAGATCTTTCCAAAGCATTCGACACTCTCGACCACCAAATCTTGTTTGCCAAATTGGAGCACTATGGTATCCGTGACGTGGCTCTGCAGTGGTTTAAAAGCTACTTTTCTTTCCGCCAGCAATTTGTCCAATTCAATCAAGCTTGCTCTCCGATGCAAACCATCAAGTGTGGTGTCCCTCAAGGTTCGATTTTAGGCCCACTATTGTTTATTCTATACATTAATGACCTTCCTAATGCCTCTGAATTATCAGACCCTCTACTTTTTGCTGATGACACCAGTATCTTTTATTCTCACTCAAATCTAAATTGCTTAGAATCTATACTTAATGATGAACTCCAAAACATTGACGTTTGGCTAAAATGTAACAAGCTTTCAGTTAATGCAAAGAAAACCAACTATATAACTTTTAAAACCAGACAGAAGAAATTTAACTCCAGCATTTCTCTCTCCTATGGAGGTAAACCCCTACAACAAGCTAATGTAACTAAATTCCTTGGGGTCTATATTGACAATCATCTCACCTGGAAATACCATATCAGCTATGTATGTAAACAAATCGCTAAATCAATAGGTATTTATTTAGGTCTCGCTTTTCCCTATCCTCTGCAACCAAGCTCACTTTGTATTACACCTTAGTTTGTCCTTATATCGTCTATTGTAACTCCGTCTGGTCGTCCACATACGTATCTAACTTAAATAGACGAAGGGCTAACGCTCGAAACGTCAGCTTTTGTAATTGTTACGGTGGCCAATTTACCATTTCAACTTTGTTGATATATCCAAATTATTTCGTTACTCCCACCGACGCAACCCCAAACTGTTTCTTTCGAAACTATCAGCCTTTATTAACTTAAATAGAATTTATTATTTGCAAAAGCGAGCTGTGCGGGCGATCACCAACTCAGACTATCGAGACCACTCTGCCCCTTTATTCTCCAAACTAGGAATTTTAGATATTTTCCAAGTCAATACGTTTGAAATCGCTAAATTTATGTTTTATGTTTTATTTCAAAAATAACATATTGCCCCCATTGCTTCTCAATCTTTTTGTAAGGAATAGCCAAATTCACAAGTATGGTACCAGAACAGCCAGTAATTATCGAACGCATTTGTGCCCTACAAATGTCAAGCAGTTTACAATTCTCTACCAAGGTCCTAAAATTTGGAACTCTCTCCCTATTTCAGTCACTCGTTCGTCAAACTTTCTTAGCTTTAAAGCGAAATTGCAAGAGTTTTTACTTAAATAATCACTGAATTTGCCAAGCCGCACATTCGCAGCACTTTTTCTTTACTTAATTTATTATTCTACGTGAGGTGGCTCTCCCATAAGCCTGGTGGCTTCTTGGGTCTCCTCGCCTTCTAACTGTTATCGCTGTAATTAACTATTTTTTAATTGTTAAAATAAGGCAAATAAAGATGATGATGATGATGATGATGATGATTTTTTCCATACATTAACTGTACATTTTGCGCGCGCCCCAGCAGTTTTGCAGCCCCGGAAAAATGACGGCGTTAACCTTGAAAGGGTCTATAACGGGAATACGAGAGCGACCAAGTCACGCTTCGTTTCAATTTTGCCTCTGATTGGCTGAAACAGAGGCGTGGGCGTTTTCAACACCATTTATAGAGAATAGGGACACAGAACCGAAGCAGTCTCCCGGATAACTTTCAACACCCAACTTTGATATACTCTATAAGCGTGTGTCACAGTTTATGACCTGACCTCAACCTAAGCAATATCTCTGGGAAGGAGATAGAGAAATGTGTCCACACCTTGTCCTCACTTTTTCAAGTCTCATTTCTCTTTTTACTCATCTTTTTAGACCAAGAGGTTTACTCTTCTCAGACCGTTGGAGGCATTTAGACGTATATAGCCGGCAAGACACAGGGAAATCTACATTGAAAGTACTCTCTGAGTTTGTCAGAAGACAAGGTTGTTTGCGGACCTTAACCGGGATGGCATGGTTCATTTTGATTGTTTATCAAGCATTCCTTCTTGCTGCAGCCAGGTAACTTCTTAACTAAATTTGGTTTCAAGTCTAAACTTCTAGTCTTAACATGTACAGAGTAATTCGTCAAAAATGCTCATTAACTCATTCTTAAAAGAAGTCAATTGCACTGTGTAAAAGTATAAAATAATTAGATTTGCACCAAAACGTAAGGAAAACGTTACACCAAAGAACTGAATTCTTATGTCTTATATTCACTGTATTCTTGTTTTGGTATCTGTTGAATTTGGTTGTCTTTTATGGTGGTCTCAAAGTAAAAGGAATCCCATGCCGAGAAATCAAATACGAAATGACGGCGAAGTATGCGCAGTGTGAAAGATTTGCAGACTTTAAAAATGGTTGCTGTACAAAGCTTTATGTGAGAAATGAATAAAATGCAGCTATATGTTTGGAGATAAAGTGGATAGTCAAAATGTCTAAGTCTAAACCATTAAAAAACAACATATGCAACACTCACAAGAATTCCTACGATCCCCCGATGTACCAAAGTTCGGTCCCGGACGGTAATTTTTTTGACCACTTATGCCCTCTTTGATCCTTTAAATCCGCCTGTGTTTACCATTATCCATGTCTCACCACGCCGATGTAAGGTAGTGTTTTCAAATTCTCCACGTCCTCTGCGATGATCGATTATCCATTCGAGACATATTTCAAGCCACAGAGAGCCGTTTAAATTCGGCCGAAATAGCTGAAAAATTCCCGTATTTCATCTTTTTCCAGGTATCGATCTCTTTGGGGAAACGAGCGCTTGTGCAAGTAAAAAAATGAGTCGAATTTGGTGAAGTCTTGATACTCACAAGAAAAACACTCGCCATCTTTTAAGGGCTTTGTAACCTAGTTTTTTTGGCGGATTTCCGCTGTTCTGAAGCTGTTCATCGCATGGAGTGTGCTAATTTTGATTCCGATCTTATGAATTATGCATGTATACATAATTCTATAATTTGGATATATCAACAAAGTTGAATTGGTAAATTGGCCACCGTAACGATTACAAAAGCTGACGTTTCGAGCGTTCGCCCTTCGTCGGAGATCCAAACAGTTTCTTTAGAAACTATCAGCCTTTATTCATATGCATAATTGTAGTTAATTACATTTCCTGTTGCTTAATAATATCTTTAAAGACATTTGACTTCCAAAACATAGTAATCCTTTATTTGTAAAAACGCTAACTTCATTTGAAAAATGTCTGATAGACCCCCATTAGAAGCATTTTTGAAATGGGAATTGAGAATTGAAAGTCCCTCATTAGCATATGCAGCGCCCACGACGTCAACCGCTGACTGTCGTCGATTTCTCAGCATGCTAAGTCCATGAGGTCCCTATTGAGAAAGACAAGAATCATTATCGAGCTTATGCGCAGCTAGTATACACGAGGATATTCTTTGTTGAATTTCCAGCTTGATAGAATATTTAATATGATGACTGTCTGAGTCCATTTGCTCTCGTGGTTTCAGTGCGAATTCAACACTCCAAGTGCTTAAAAAGCATTTGACCAACTCCCGTTACGACAGAGGAACACATCCCAATGATGGAGGTATGACTTGTATGAAAAAACGTCAATTGGTCAGATAAGCTGTTATTAACCGATTATTGGTGACTAATCAATGCTCAATTTAGTGCTCGACAACCAAAAACATAGCTTTTTTTTCTTCTGAAGAGTTAAACACCTCGAAAACGATCCATACCCAGTAGACATCAGTACCAAATCAATCGAGTGTCGTTAAAATTCTCCCAACGTTACCATTACAACCAATCATAACATAGGAAAATTTCACAAGGAGCCAATGGGAACTCAAAGTAAAAGTAAAAAGATCTGCCAGTTGAAATTGTGGGGAAAATATCTGAGAAAATTATCAATTGTTATACTCAAAAATTAATAATGTCGTTTTGTTACTCAATCCTAGCGAATTACACGTTAATATTGGTGGATCTTTATGTGGAATCGTTCGGAAAGATAGAAGAAGTCAACATGGTAGGATATTTTAAACTATTACTACTGCTTGCAGTCAGTCATTTTGCAGGTTATGAAGTCAAAAATGCACTCTCTGAGATAACTTAATTTTCAAAAACTCCCCATTGATGTCACGGTCTATCAAAAAACGACCATGTATAGATATCGTTCTCGCGAGTACAAGCGTGATGTGTGACAGCGCGCCTGATAAATTGTATCACTTCGTGGGTCTAGGACTGTACAATTCGTTAAGAAATAGAAACAAATCTTGTAAGTGAAAATGCGTCGTATAATAGAAAACTGAATAAAGGTAAAGAAACTTGGAAAATAGGGAGTATTGTAGAGCAAAATTCTCAAGAGTAGCCAAAAAGAGATATTTATCCTCAGTTGGGAAAATAAGCAATCAGAACTTGGAAGTCAAATTAGGGAAGGCATGTTCATTATCTTTTATCGTGGACTATGAGCTTTAAAGAAGCTCACGCTCAATAAACGGTAGGGTGAAAAATAGATTCAGCGTCTTAATCTCAGCTGACGTCATGAATTTAAGAATGAAATTCAAGAAATAATTTTTATTTCGTTTCCTGGAATCTTGAGACAAATACAAGATTATGTCATGATAGACAGTGATTGACACAGGCATACTCGGAAAAAAAGAACTCCAAGTGCTCGCAATAGCTCCTTAAGTACTTCAGATGCTCTACCACTAAGCTATGTGAGATTGTGCAGTGGCAGGTCTAGGGTAGGATGAAAAGCCGACAGGTGTACACACACAAAACATCTGCCCCCCTCCCCCTTAGCTCGTGGTCTGGATCCGCCTCTGTTGTGGTAGGAAAAGCCGTAAAAGATTTCTCCTATCCCGTACAGGAATTAGATGCGTATATGTACTTCCGTCAAGAATGGCACGACCCTCGATTAGCAAACGTCGTGAACAAAACTGTGCATCTGGCCAGAGATGACATCAACTTAATATGGAGGCCTGATACTTTCTCATATAATTCTCGCGGAACAGATTTGGATAAAGAAGACAAAAGCTTACATTCCGCTATGAAAGTGGAGCCCTCAGGGCACGTCTTCTACTCAAGAAAGTAAGTTTGCTTTTCACAAGAAAATTACTTCCACCCGCTAATACGTCTTTCCGGAATTCAACGGGAGACTGGGGTGGAACTAAACTCGCGAAGCACACTGGGGCTGTTTTTGGAGACGCGAGCCAAAGTGATAAGGAAAAACATGGGGAAATTCTCGTGCTGTGTGCCTCGTTGCACAAATAATTGGCGTAATTCCTCAGATTTGAAGTTCCATTCACTTCCTCAGGATCCTAAAGTGCTCTCTGAGTATGTTAAGTTGATACGAAACCTTGATCTTAAAATACACTCATCGAGTACAAAAATATGCGGCAAAAATTTTCCGCAAGGCGAAAGGACGCGTCGTACACAACTCCCATCGATTTTTCCATGGTCTAAAGCTAAATCAAAACGTCGTGAACTAGTTAAGCACGACGTACCGTCCAAAAGAAAAAGACGAAAACCCTCTCCGACCAAAAGTGTTTGTGTTGAACTCCACAATGTCGAGGAGTCCACCGAAACCCTTCGAAAGGAGATTAAACAGCAAAGAAACCCGAAAGATATGATTGTCCCTGAAGATATTATTGAGACTGATGGAATAGAAGACAAAACTGATCAAGTACATCGTTCGGAGAAGGAAGAGAACAATGTGGAAACCCTGAAGGATCTTAAGGCAAAACTCGAGTCACTTGAAAAAGATTTGGAAGAATGTAAACAACAACTTTGTTCAGCGAATAAAGAACTAGATCAACTGAAGTATAAAGTTGAAAATGAGCCAAAATTCGAGTTAGACGATTACAAGGATAACGATGAATCCATTTCACTTTACACAGGATTTCCTAGTTATGCTACAGTGATTTTGTGCTTCGATACTCTGAAAGCTAAAGCTGAAAACCTAAGTTATGGTGGTCATGAATGAGTAAACTTTGTCTTTATCGAGTCCATTCTTGATATAGTCGTTAACCCTGAAAAATTAAGGGAAAAAAGCGAATTTAAAAGGCAAATTCAGCATGATTTTGTTGAAATTTACTTGATCTCGGCTTTCTACACTGCCCAATCATATTCTGCTAATGATCTGTGGAAAATTTCCATTCAAGAGGTTTAAAGATAACTAAACAAACAGTGTTGACATCAAGCTAAAATACCTTATCGCAAGTTGTTCTCTTTTGCCACCAACTTTCGCTCCACGGCAGCTTAACGATCGCTTTAGAACGTTAATGGTACATTGCTCAACAGGTGTATTTAGTTTTGCGCCTGGAATATCATCTTCGTTTAGTAACAGGCTCGTAATATTATCTTTTTCTACCGATAACTCTGTCATGATTAAAATTCGCGGGCTATTGCCGCGTCTCCAAAAACAGCCCAAGGGTGCTTCGGGTGTTAAGTTCCGCCCCAGTCTCCCGTTGAATTCCGGAAAGGGCAATTCGACCTAAATTCAAACACAATAACAATATCTAAGGAAGACTATGTACTACTTATTGACTGAGTAGGAGGGCCATACGGCAAAATAGTTCCCCATTAGTCCTCCATGCAATATTTATGGGCTATTGAATCGGGACCAATTGCACCCCAAAATTGACTGGTAAAACACTTGATATCATCTGCATCTCTAGTGTTCAACTACAGTCTTATTGTTTATCTTTAGTACTCATTTAGTGTCTGCCTGTAATATGGATCTTCACGACTTTCCAATCGACACACAGAACTGTTCGCTCACATTTGGGAGCTGTAAGTACAGAGCAGTAGATGTTTCATGTATTTTGGCGGGAATATTCGCCACTTGCACTCTTTTGAGTCCATCCAAAGAAAAAAAGGAAAGAAAGATTATTCTAACTAAAATAATGTTACATGTATTTATTTCTTTGAAATATTGGATACCTGAACATGAAGTTTCTGAGATCATGTCAAGCGACTTTTTGTTATAGAGCGGAGTGCAATGGCCTTTTGGCGGTTAAGTAAATCAAAGAGGAAGTAAATTTGTGGCTGCAATATGCGATAAAATTTGTCCAAAAACGTGTAAGCGTAAGGTAGGATCCAACAACGTCAAGTTAGACAATAAAGCGCGAAACGCGTCTGGTTTGCAAAAAAATCAGATGGCAAGGGCGATGAAAATTAAATTAGTACGTTAACAAAAACATTGCGATCTGTATGGCAATCAATGTAATCTACAGTTAGTGCCTCATTGCAACTTGGCTGCTGAAGTGTTTTATTCAGAGTGAGATGCAGGGTCTCATCAAAAAATTATTTCATAGGTTTTCAAATAACCCATGACTATGCACTTAGATAGCCAGCTCGTAATCAGACGAATATTGTTCAGTCCGTCTTAACACATATTGTGTTGCATCTGTCTCAGACGGGTTTTCTACGCGAGATGTTGATTACAGGTGGAAGCGAGACTTTATCACCGTCGAACAAACTACAATGGCGCAGTTTTCGATCGTATCGGCAAAACCCTCACGCCGAGTTGGAGTATATATCTCAGGTAATTTTTTTCATTAGATTTGGCACTTAAAAGCTCTTGCGCTCTACAAGACAAACTTTAAGTTACTAAGCCATGTATGAGTTCTCGAATATTTGTGTGGTTAGTTACGGAAACATATAGTATATTCATAGAGAATTTCCCTGTTAGAGTAAAGTGCCTGTTGTAAGTTTCCTTTCATATTTTTTAGTCTTATTGCAACAGATTTCATTTAGATTATCAATACAGAGCTATAGCACATGCATGACATCAGAAAAAAGTCTACGCAACAAATATTCCCTGAAAAAAAGTTGTTAAATTGAAGTTGTGTCTTCTGCAAACTAACGCGGTCGTCCTCACGTAGTGTATATGCATTATATCATTACATTTGCGTTAATGACAAATTTTCCTGGGTATCATACACAGGTAACTATACCATTGTGGGAGCATTCTTCTTGCTGCAGAGGCGTCTGGGATACTACATGATCCAGCTGTACCTTCCATGTATTTTCCTGGTAATGCTCAGCTGGATCGTGTTCTGGATGAGTCCTGATAATGGAGGTGACAGGCTGACTGTCGGCATCACTTGCATTCTCACTATTGTTTTCCTATTAGGCTACATCAATGGCATGCTGCCCAAGGTTAGAGAACTCTCATGACTGATAAATGACGGGCGCTATGAACTGCTAATACAACCGTCAAAAGAAGGATACTTTTTCTTTTTTCAAGAAATAGTTCAGAAAAGTTCGCTCTCTGCAAAAATTATAGGCTTACGCCGAATAAATATTGGCCATACATATCTAAAATAAATTTAAAATAGAATAAATGAATTTTGGCTCTTGTCGACATCCAAGGCCCGTTGCTATCGTTTCTGCTATTTGCCAGTGAGGATCTTTCTATCTTAGTGTTATCAAAAACGGAAGACTCTTACCCTGTAACACCTCAAAACACTTCTATCTGTGAGTAAAACTTCTCAACAATGCCTAGTCATAGTGTTCCTCTGGCTAAAAGTCATGAACTTAACTCACGCCAAAGAGAATGATAAAACATGATACCTGGATATATTTCTATACAGAAAGAGACTTAAACAACGCATAACTTTCAGAACATTATTTTGCCGAACTTCTTTGTAGGTGAGCTATGTGAAAGGAGTGGACTGGTTCCTAATGACGTCATTTCTTTTTATCTTTCTGTCGCTGGTTGAGTGTGTACTGGTAGAGAGATTGGCCAATGAGAACCAAAAAGAAGAGATCAAGGAGGAAGGAATAAACAACGAAGGACTGGTAATGAGGTTTCCACTTTATTTTTTCAACTGTGAAATTATCTTCCATTGACGTACGGAGACCAAACAGAGTCCTTCCTCCAAAAGATGCTGGCACAGCTGAGAAAAAGTTTAATCCGTTACTCACTAACATCAGTGTGCATATTCTCCATACTTTTCTTTATTGCACCTAACACAAGATTTTTATTCCATAAAACTCATTTGTAGCAATCTGGACGCTTTATTTTCACATGTGAAAAAACCTGCAGAGCCAATCAGAATGGTGTACAGCTCTTTTACGTGTCGAAGTATAACCAATCGAATTGCTTGAAAGAGTTACGCGGGCGCTCGCTTACTCGCGCTCTCAAAGTTTTTGCAACTGCTCACATGCTCGTATTCTCATTTTAAAAGTACTCGCAAAATTTGGCCTTTGCTCGACTTGCTTTATTGATATCGTGCTTAGATTAAAAAAAAACTTTTGTAAGTGCAGTTTTCCGTTGAGCACTTTATTCCCTTAATGTACATGTACTGCGATATTTTCCACTGCCGTTAAATTTGCATTGTTAGTGAGTTTTTGTTCTTTGCGTTCAGAAAATTATTTCAATGAAAATTTTCGTGTTAAGTGCAATAAACAACTCACGACATAGAAAGTGCTTTGTACGGGGTTTTATTCACTCGTTCTTTTTGTCAAAAGCCCTCCCTCGCTCGTACCTCGCTCGTTCGGGCTTTTGACACAAACAACTCGTGAATAAAACCCCATACGCCGCACTTTCTATGACGTAAACTATGTGTATACATTTTCATTCTCATGACCTTGATGTGTAATGGAGGGGTGATACTGTATGGAGAAATTACATACTAGTCACTCTTAGGAGTTAAAACGTTAAGATCTAAGCAACTGCGCACTCACCCCTCCCCAAACATAACGATGGTCAACTGATAACAAGTAAAGGTTAGGGGAGGGGTGAGTGCGCACTTATATTGAAATTGAACCGAAGTTTCAATCCCCGATGGGTCGTAACAGTGAATCAAATGGAAAAAAATTTTCTTGATTTTGCAGAACACTTCACGATTATCCTTGAGCAAGCTGAACCCTCGTTATCGCAGGAACTCAAAAAGTTTGAACATCTCAAGTGACTCCGTCAAATCCCCTGCTAAGGGAAGAGTTCACATCCTACCAGTGACGGCCACAGCCCCTCGTAACGAGACTACCCCGAATGACGAGACACCAGAGCTATCTCAGAAGAATGGAAGCTTCTTACAGTGTCTTGAAGGAAGCCCAAGGTCACCCAGAACTAAATGTGGAATGAAAAAAAGAACTCTCCCTGAAAAAATTGACTTTGCCTGTCGAATTCTGTTTCCCCTTTCCTATGCCTTGTACAATTTGGGCTACTGGTATGTTTATTTGCACGGCATTGATATTATCACATGAGATTTTCACTTTAATCGTAAAACCGAAAGTCATCGTAACTCCCCAGTGCCAATGGTGGTTGTCGCACAACAATCCAGACTCGTTGCGGGACGAATCAGGATATGACTGCCTAGACAAGTTTTTGTTCCCGTAATAGTCAATCTATTTTTTTCGAAATTATATATCTCTACGTACTTACACATGAAATGCTTTCCTATGAAATACACGCAACGGAAGTAATTGGTGTGCGTAGAATCCCTTTTTTCTGATTGTATGCTTAGTTTGTAAAAAGCTCTATTGACTTCGTTTTTTGGTTGGTTCTTACTTCTGGTCTATTGGAGGTCAGCCGCATAGATGACATCATTATCAAAAATTGTTTTTGCTTCTTCACTATATAAAACGAATTGATTCCATGTTGCCGTGGGTCTGGGCACGATGACGTCAAAATGTAGTAAGAACAAAAAATGGCACACTACTAGACGCAGGCGCAGACGCAGCCGATTGCGTCTCTGATGTCCTCACCGCATTTTGACTTCTATGGCAACATTGAATCTATCTCTGAGCATTAATAATTAATGAAAAAACCTTAAAATACTGTACAAAAAACTGCTAACGTAAATGTCTGTGCGACTATTGTACTGAAAAACACATTTAAACCAGGATATAAACTATAGAGTTAACTGTGTGTTGGATGTCTTACAAATTAGTTAAGTAAGGCAACCTACAAGAATTGGCCATGTAGATTTAGTTACTGAATTTATATGAATTGTTTACGTGTAAGTTCTTTTGGTTTTCACATCGTAACCATTAAAGCTATAGGTTATTGCAACCTTCAGTTTGTAAAAGTATCCACATATGTTTTCGTAGGAGTTTTTCTAGAGAATTGCTACCAACATGATTTAAATAAATACGTAGGCAAGCTTCAGGCTATGAAGGTAATTGGAACGTAACATTGTCATCGCACGGATGCGTACCAATCTTATTGAACGTTTTTATAAGACACGACTTCGAACTCCTGAACGTTTCTATCAAATAATATGCATCTTCATAGGAACCTTGAAAGGAATTAAGCGGCCTCATATGAGCACAGTACTGGTGCCCATATGAGCACAGTACTGGTGTTATCGTGATTGTTATTGACTGTCTCATTACAACAATATTACCAGCCTATGAGAGCTGTGATTAACCCAATTTGCAGGCGGAAGCTCTCCATATTTTGCTGTCTTAACTTGAGGTGCTCAATGGCGTTTGTTTTAGTGGTATCCAGTCTTATCCTTGGCGTTGAGCAATGATCATCGAGGTCAGAGTTTTGCTTCTCCGCCCAAGTAGCTAGAAGGATCATGGATTCTTTATCTATAAAGTTCCGTTCCCGTTACATTACTGGATTAGCTCTGATAATTTGTTGTTAAATCAAACAAAGTTCCTTCAAAAAATCGATCTCTGAAGGAGAAGTACATTTTGTTTAACGTAACAGGTGCAATGAACAATACATTGGTAGTACGACACGCTTCATCCACGACCGCATAAAGGAACATGTCAACAATGGAAACTCATCCGTGAAAAAACATATCCATTCCTTCCAAAACAAAGACCATGAAGGCATTGATGTCAAGATTATTATGAATGAAAACGACCCCGCTAATCTACGCCTTTACGAAGCATTTTACATTAGAAAGGGCGAGCCTACACTCAATTCCTGGGAAGAATGTAGTGAATTTGCAGACCTTCTATTTTTGTATCTCATTTTAGACCATTTTTAACGCTTTTATAAGTCCTTTGTTTATAACGCTCCATCATTAGAGCCTTAATTATGTTCCATTCACAGTTTACTTGTACAGCTTTCATACATAGTCACATCTTTTACACATTTCACCACACACTCTTTTTGCATATATATATATATGTGATTATACTTCAAGATTTAGGCTACTTGAGCTTTTACTGCATAAAAAGTATTACAGCAGTAAAAGTTCAAGTAACCTAAATCTTGAAGTATAATTATCCATACTTATA